AAAAAAGGATAAAAAAATCTGAAGAAGGTCTAAGATTCATGTTGGACAACGTGAAGAGGAATAACTTAAGAATTATTGGCATTCCAGAACAAGAAGAATCCCACAAGTCCACAGAGGAAATAGTTGAAGAACTGCTGGAAGAAAATTTCTCTAACACCCTCAAAAGTGAAAAGATAGAAACATTCAAGAAGCTCAATGAACCCCGGGAAAGACAGACCGCAAAAGAAAATCACCAAGACATACCATAATCAAGCTCTCCAAAATCAAAGATAAGGAGACACTCCTGAAAGCAGCTAGGGAAAACAGAAATGTTACATACAAACGCAAGCAAGTCAGATTAAGCTCAGACCTCTCAGCAGAAACCATGCAAGCAAGAAGGCAATGGGGAGACGTATATAAAGCCCTGGAAGAAAAAAACTGCCAACCAAGAATCCTTTATCCAGAAAAGCTATCAATCAAATACGATGGTATAATCAAATATTCCAGGATAATCAGAAACTAAGGGATTTTGCCAAAGCCAACCCTGCAACACTAAACATCCTAAAGGGAGGTCTATAGACTGAGAACCAACAAGGGCAGACAACAAGCAGAGATTCACATACGTGGCGGTACGTCCCAGGATTAAATTGACAGAAGGAAAAGTCAAGAACAGAACAAAACTATAAGAACAAACTCAGAGAATCTGGGAGGTCAGTCTATGATCAAAACAATAACAAAACAATAACAATGTAACAGAAGGTAAACATGTAGGAACAGAGATCCACATGGTGAAAAGGTCAGGTAGATTACAGGATAAAATAGACTGCTCTAATTGGAGGGAAAAGTTAATGGATTATGACGTAACCTCAAAGAAAACTAACACTTCACAACATACCAAGAAAATGAAACTCCAAGAAGAACACGGAAACATTAAAACTATGAGGAAACTCACAAGAAAGAACACAAAAAGCATGAATTCAACAAAGGAAGACATACAAAACAAAAAGAGCAGCCACAACACAAAAAAACAAACATAATGGCAGCAATTAATCAATACTTATCGATAATTAAATGGATTAAATGCACCTGTTAAGAGACGGAAATTGGCAGAATGGACAAGAAAACAAGACCCTTCAATATGCTATCTGCAAGAAACACATCTCACACACAGAGACAAGAACACATTAAAAGTCATAGGATAGAAAAAAATATATACCAAGCTAATTGCAATAAAAAACAAACAGGAGTGGCAGTACTAATCTCTGATAAAATAAACTTTAAGCCAAAAGCCAGCATAATAGAAAAAGATGGACATTATCTCACGATTAAAGGGACAATTGAACAAGATAACATAACTATAACAAATATCTATGCTCCCAATGAAAGAGCTCCAAAATACAGAAAGCAAACTCTAATAGATTTGAAGAAAGAAATAGA